CCACTAGCCCAGATCGTAATATTCTTCAAATTACTTAATTGACATTGTTTACACCATTTATTATATATCTGCGTAAATTGCTTGCCGCAATTTCGACAATGAAATCCATCTATAAAAACTATAATATAATCGTTTGTATCCGAATTCTGAGATACTCCATATATTTTATTTGAAGATACTTCCACCTTTGAAATATATAAAAAAATTATTCTTATAAGAAAAGGTAAAAAAAAATAATTTATAGAAAAATTTTATACCTCATTTAGATCAAGAATATTTTGAGAATTATATGAATTATATAGACATTTTAAAATAACTTTTTCGTTCATGTTTCTTGTGTATTTAAATCTATAATTATCATAATGTAATGGACCATCACTCCATATTGCTGAATATATTGTAGCAAATTCATCTCTTCCTATTACTTTAATATTATTAAATTGATCGTATGGTATCCATTCAAATAATATATTGCTTGTTTCATTAAATTTTAGTCGCATTTTTTGAATTAAATTATCAATTTTTTCATTCCCACTAGTCCAATTCGTTATTATTTTCATTGTGTCCATAATATCAATTGTTTTATGTTTAAAAACCAGAATATAATCTCTCGTTTTTGGATCTTGAGATATTCCATATAATTTAGATAAATAAATATAATTAATCGAATATGTATATGATTTAACCTATTAAACATGAGAAAATATTATCATTAAAATATATAAATATATATAAGTTAAATTTTAAAGAATTTCGTACCTCATTTAGAAATACATTAGTAACCTCTCGAGAGTTATATAAACATTTTAAAATAATATTTTTATTCTGGTCTCTTACATATTTGTTTTTACCAAAAATGGTGCGTTTCTTATAATATAATGGACCATTCTTCCATATTGCTGAATATACATTAACACCTTTATCTATTTCCTTAATATCTTTAAACTGATCGTATGGTATCCATTCAAATATAATATCACTTGATCTATCAATATTTGATTGCATTTCTTGAATTAAATCGTCGATTTCTTCAATCTCACTGTATGTAAAAAATTTTGTTAAATCATTTATTTGGCATGGCTTACACCATTTTTCCACATTTGTGTAATGTTTACCACATATTTCACATTTATTAAGGTATTGATAAAGTCCCAAAGTTCCTATGAAGAAACGGCAAATTGGCAAAACTGCCGAAATTCTTATGATAAAATGACAAAATGCTAAAATTATCGAAATTAGTTTTGGCATTTGACAAGTTATCAAAATAAAATAAAATAAAAAATAACGAAGTCCGATTTTAGAATCAGCCAAAACTATATATAGTCATCAGAATAAGCTTTCAGTTAAATAATGTGTAAATCGCAGATCATCTATATCAATATTGTTCCACCAAAATTTTTGCAGGATTTTTGGAATTGATGACGTACATACCTATCTGGGAGACTTAATAATTTATATATACAGTATATAGTTGACGCACCCTTTACCTGGAAGAATTGATACCATTCCAAATATGAAGGCATAGCTTTTTAATAAGTGTGAATCAAAGAAATTACACGATCATGGATTAAAATAAAGAAGAGTCCTATATTTCTTGCTCGTTATTCTTGTTGAAACTAAGCTCGCTGTGTGCATGTAAACTAAGTTACAATAATCTTATATTCTATTACTTTATAGGTTGACTATTTAATCTTTTTTTCTATTTTTTTTTTCATTCTTTCGCCTCTTAGGTTTGGATTGGCGATATAATCAAAATAAATATTTTTTTTTATTGAGTAAATATATATATATTCTTTGTATGATTTTTTTAGTTAAATTAAATATATTTTTTTACTCAAAAATAAAAATCTGTTAATATTAAAAAAATTTTATTGTTGTATTGATTCAAACTCATTTACTGTAATCCTGTTGCAACGCAACAGGCTACAGTAGTTTTTATAAAAAAATATTCATAAATAAAAATTAAATTATTTTTAGAGATTTTTTTTTCCAGGATATTATCACTTTAACATTCAAGTAACTGATATTAATTGTTAAGCAATAAATAAAAAACTTTATTTCGTGAAAACATTTATTCGCGAAAAAGTAAGCAAAAAAGATTAATGTATTATAAAGAACGAGATAAATTTAATAAAAATCAGCTAATTCCAAATTTTGTTCTAGAAAACAATTATGCATTTAATATAAAAACAATAAAGTAGCCAAATGGAATAATAATTTTTCGGCGAAATATCCCTTCGATGAAATATCTCTTCGGCGAAATGGTTTGGCGAAATGGGTTTCGGTGAAATGGACTTCGGCGAAAAGTCCGGATACCCATTAAAAATTAATAAATTAATGTAATTGAACAGATACTAATAATGGATATAGTGAAATATACTCTTTTAAACACTATATGCTAAAAAAGACAATCTTTAGTTGATGCCTACAGCAATAATATTTTGTTCATAATGTAATGTTACCTATAATTCTTGTTTTATTTAAAATTCTAAACAATTTTTTATTCATATCCCTAATCGTTATTATAGTATAATATAAGTTGCAAAGCTAACTAGTGATCCTGAGCTCGACTAATGTATCAATAAGTCAGTAGTTGATGAAGGATTGGAGGTTATGCTATTGCATATACAAATGAGACAAATAAATTTGTAGCAACAGATCCATTATTACCAAAGGTCAACAAACCCAGAGAATTTAAGGAATTCTTATCCTATATACTCGGTGAAACGGAGAAAAAAGTAAGTAAATTATAGGCTAAAGATGAATTGATTTGATTCGATTTTGAAATCTATTCTAAATTCAGAAAATTTTAGTCTCCTGAGTTTAGAACTACTTTTAACTATAAAAACCGTTTCGAGCCAAAGCCTACTTTAAACTGATTTCAAGAACCGGATTGAAATTGGGGCAAAAATTGGGCTGCTGCCTGCTACCAAGATGATGATCTATCGTTTGAAGCCAATCAAAATTTGACCATCATCATGATACTGTATGCTCCACTTATGTTTATAAAATTTGAACGCACGTAGCTCATATTTTATTTATGAGAGCGTGAAGAACCTAAAACAAACGAACCAGTTCTCATCCCTACGTCATAGATAAATAAACTTGAGTGTTAAATAATGCACAAATTCGTGATTGACCAATCAAATATTTTATATTTTATTTTGTATTTTTAATGCTATAATTGTTGAAAATTTTACAACTATGAAAATGATGATTTTTTTTTGGTTGCGCCAACATGCAACCATTGATATATATTTTACTTACGATTAAACTCAAAAAGAAGTTTATTATATTTTGCCGGAAAATTAATAAAAAAATTATGTTTAAGCTTGCTAATTTACATCATAAATAATTCTTGTAGACATAGAAATACCGTTGAAAAGCAAACATGGGGAACGATTTTATAGATCCAATTCTTAGGACTAAATTTCTGGTAAATAAAACCTGGGCAAAATCAAATATGTAAATAACTCACATGACAAGAAAATTCAAAAATTTTTGATACAATAAAAACATTTTTTTTATTTGTCCTCTATTTAATTTTAAATTTTAGGATCAACAATACTTCTTGTCTCCTTCCATTTCATATTATTATATCAACAAAAAAAAAAATATATCTATAGAAACTTGCACTATTAAACTAATCTACAGAGCAAAAATATTACTAAACATTCTTATTCAAGTTGAGTGAGTTGTAACCTCGTGAGTATGGTTGTGGGTGCGGGGTGTGAGTCTGGCTTCAGTCTTTAAGTTGCAGGCCTTTTAGGATTCTCCATGGTGGCCTATTTAATAGCAGTGATAAGTGAAAAATGAAAATTTATTTTGGCGGAGTTCAAAAATAAGTTGTACTCACGTGATCTTTTTTGCAGCGTTAAATACTCATTAAATGTGGCATAGTGAATGCAACTCGGCATAAATCAAAAGCCTCAACCATATTCTTGAAGCCCAATCCTTGAAAGTTCACGTGATTTTGGGCGAACTAAGTTCGCTGAAATTTCTTTGAGAAATTTACTAATTCATTTCAATTTATCTAATAAACAATACTGTATGGAATTCTTTGTGTATAACATTGACGAGATTCCCAGAAAATATTTGGAGCGAATGAAGGGAAATAAATATAGTCCAGACTGGCCTTTTCGCCTTTTAGTAACTGGAGGCTCACATAGCGGAAAAACTAATATGGTTATAAACCTTATTCTTGGCAACAAACTTCAGCGCATGTTTAAAGGCAAGAAGGGGAATAGATATATTAAAAACGACGATCTTATATTAGTTGGAAAGTATGCCGAGCCTAAATGGGAGCTGTAAAAAATGCTATCCATATTTTTGCAAATAGTCCCGACCCATATCGTGAGAATATCTCATTTCAAACAATCAAGGCGGAAAAGATTCCGGATATAAGCAAATTCTCCCCAAAAAGAAGTACTGTTGTTGTTTAGAAGATCTCTGTGCCGAATCAAAAAAAATACAAGAACGTATCATCCCTTACTTTATTAGTGGACGGCATCAAAACATCTCACCAATATACGTAACTCAGAATTATCAAGCCGTGCCAAAGATAATTCGTGAAAACATTTCCATCTAGTCATGTTCCGAGGGAGTGGTAGCCGGGACGATATTCATAGAATTGTGCGTCAGTATACGGATGATCCAAAAAAAGCATCTAAGATTATTGACAAGCACCTGCAAGAGCGGAATTTTTGTAGTTTTTGATTTCACTAAGCCAATAGATGATTCATTAGCGATTAGACTTGGTTGGGACACGTAAATTTTGTACTATCATAAAATGACCACAAAAAAAAATAAAAAAAGAATGTTTTGCAAGTTTCGCACAGTTTCGGATTTTGCTCTTTGTGGCAAAACTAGTTTCGCCAGGTTTCGGAAGTTTTGTCAGGGATCTAATTTCGGTTTCACCCGAAACATTAATTTGCTACAAGCCTATAATTAGAAACCCTTCAAGAAACCTATACTTCCTCTTGTGGAACGTTATTGATAATATTGTCACGCAATGGCGTTAGTGGATTGTCGCGCAACAATAATGACACGATGACACATGAATCGCATGACACGCAAGTTCTCGCAAACATGCGCCATCGTATGATAATTATTGAAGGTAAGTTATAAAGGACCCAGAAATATATATACAGGGGTAGGGTACACAGATGCGTCGCCATCATAGTGGAATTAGACGGAGTAAAGTTTTGATTTGCGTACAATTTTAGAATTTTTCATCTATAGTTAGGTCATCAAGATTGCGTATTTTTTATCAAATTTTTTATATGTAAAAAATTAGTTTGCGTATTTTTGACCTAAATTTGGC